CCCAGGGGGACAAGAGTGGCAAAGTGCCAATCAGCAGTTACTTAAGCATGACATCACCGTGCACAGTTACATCATAGCAGAAAAGCACAGTGACTTCTGGCGGCACCATGGATGAGAGAGCTCAAACAATTTTGTGTAGCCCTGCAGGCTCCCTCAGGAGGGTGGTGGGGCTGGGGGAGGACAGAGACAAAGAGATGAACACTTTTGGTGTGGAGCGCCTGGGCCGGTTTCCTCCCATTCCATGCAGGGCTTCCCTTGGTGGCAGAGGTGGACACGATGATCTCCCTTGACTATATCTGGCTAGAGGCCCCAGTAGGGGACTTTCTTACCCCACCATTAGCCTCTTATTGCCTGAGGACCTGGCAAAGACTCCACCAGGGTGTTGGGTGTTTCTTCCCTCTCCAGGGGTCCTCCTAGGCCTCCGATTTGGGTCTGAGCTCTTACACAGAAATGGGCTGACTCTGGTACCATAAGCAGCTGTGACGCTTCTGTAGCCTGGATTTCTGGGTCTCTTGGTTCCCCTCACAGCTCAGCTGCCTCATCATTGAACTCAGAAAGCGAAGGTTTGGACAGGGTTTCTGCCCAGTGTTTGAGCATCGTGAAGCAAGGCTAGGAGCCTGCTCCGTGGTAGATGGGTGAGGGAGGCAGGGAGGGCCCCCTTACAGGGCTGCATCTTTGACCTCTTTTCCTTCAGGCTGAGCAGAAAGCTGCCAGTGTGCCTGTCTCTGCACTGGTTCCCAGGTGACTGGTCATGCTTGTGATACAAGGTTCCCCCATTCAAGGCTGGACAGGGCATCCCAGTTTTCTAGGCCTTGGCAATTTTATGAAGGGAGCACCCTGATCTTTTGCCCCGAGTTGGAGGGACTGCATTCATTCATTTGTCCATAACACTCATTAACATTGAAAACATGTTTCCATTTGCCAAGTCCTGGCCACCTGTAATTCTTAAGATCTAATACCCCTAGATAAAGAGCCCACATAGAGACTCCTGACTTGGGTCTTTCCATCGGCCAGAAGCTCTGGTGCCTTTTACTCCTTCAGTATTCATTGTTAATAAAATCCTCTCTTACTACTGATCCATGATTCATGGGTTCATTCCTTGAATCCCTGAGATGAAGGACCTACTGAAGAAAGAAATTCCAAGAACACTTGATGTCCCTCAGCTCTTGGATGTCACATGTGACCACCCAGCTGACCTTCCCATCCCTCCGAAGGCAGGAAGAAAAGAAAGGAAACGAAACCCTGGGTTTTTCAACCTATAATGAGCTAGTTTTTCTCTTCTTCTTCCTTCTTCTCCTCCTCCTCCTTTTCTTCTTCTTCTGTCTTAGGCACTTTGCAAATATTATTCCTTCTAATTCTTGTACGGACCTATTAGGGGTGGTATTGGTACCTGGCATCCCAAACTAGTTGGTGGCAGAGCAAAGCCTTAAATCCAGCTCTGGATGATCCCAAAGTTCCTGTCTTTTCCCTTCACCGCTAGTCACTGAAGACCTTTGCTGTGGTTTGATGGTCCGAGTTCCTTCACAATTCATCTTGTACCTCACGTCTTAATCCCCGATGTGATACCATTAACAGGTGTGGTCTTAGGAGGTGATTAGGTCCCCCAGTGAGATTTGTGCCCTTGTGAAATAGTTTTAGGAGTCAGTGTAGTCCCTTTGCCCTTCTGCTGAGTGTTGGTGCCGCAGGAAGATGCCATCTGCAGAGCAGAGAGCAAGTCTTCACAGGCCTGGAATCTGCCGGGGCCTTGATGCATAGTGTCAGACTCCTCAGCCTCTAAAATTGTGAGAAATAGATTTCTCTTCCATAAAAATTACTCAATCTGGGGTATTTTGTTAAAGTAGCCAAATAGAGTGAGACGACCTTGGAATCCTGGTGTAGTCACATGGGAACACCCTCCTGTTTTTTCTCTCCCAAGGATGCTGGCCTCATGAGTCAGATGCTGAAACTCAGGCTGAGCTCATCAGTGAGGGAATAGTGGGCAGTTGGAAGGGAAATTGCCCCTTAATAAACAATGGGGTCCTGGTGGGGTGAAGGACTGGCATGAGGGACCTTGCATTCAGTGCAGATGAAATGTTCAGAGAAGAGGTGTTCTCTGTCTTGGGTTTTTATCCGAGTTCTCCCCGCCATGTCAGGGACATCAGTATCCACACCCTCAAATCATTCACCCCTTTACATGTAATTCACATTATCATTCACCAGGCTTTCCATTAGTCTCTGCCTTAGACCTTCTTCACTTCTGCCAGGCAGGAGTCCCCACTGTTCAGGTGGAGAAGCTGAATCCAGAGGTGAAAGCCCTCATGCAAGTTCTCCTGGATGAAAGTGATGGGGCATGACTTGCATCCACAGGGGACCATAATTTCACTCATTTTGACTCCTTTTTATTCATTCTAGACATTTGACCAGTCACTTTGTTCCATTGGGCTGTCCTTCATGAAGCTGCTTGTGTTCCATCATCCTCTCATTCTTTCCTGCTTTCATTTTCATCCTTACCATTTTTACATTCCCACCAGCAATATTTGAGAATTTCTCCACACCCTTCCAACTCTAATTATTGTCCATTTTTAAAATTATAGCCACCCTTGTTGGTAGGAAGTGTTGTCTCATAGTGCTTTTGACTTGCATTTCCCAAATGACTAGTATTGTTGAACATATTTTCACATGTGCATTAACCATTTGTCTTCTTCTTTTCTGTCTTGAATTATTTCCTGCCATGCATGACTTGGGCCACTCCATTGAAGCTTCTCTTGTCTGGTCACCAGGGAACTCCATGCCATCAAATCTAATGATTAATCCTCAGGCCTCAGCTTCCTTGACTCTCAGCAGCAGTTGACACATGCTTCCTCCAAAACTTTTTTTTTTGGAGACAGAGCCTCAAGCTGTCCCCCTGGGTAGAGTGCTGTGGCATCATAGCTCACAGCAACCTCCAACTCCTGGGCTCAAGTGAGTCTCCTGCCTCCGCCTCCCAAGTAGCTGGGACCACAGGCGCCCACCACAACGCCTGGCTATTTTTTGGTTGCAGCTGTCATTGTTGTTTGGCCGGCCTGGGCTGGATTCGAACCTGCCACCTTAGGTGTATGTGGCTGGTGCCTTAGCCACTTGAGCCACAGGCACCGAGTCAGCTTCCTCCAAAACTTGTCTCTTCCTTGCATTCTCCACTCCCCACTGTTTTTCTCCTACTTATGGGATGTGCCGTAGTTTCTTTTCTTTTCTTTTTTTTAATTTTTTCATTTTTTTTGAGACAAAGATTCACTTTGACACTCTTGGTAGAGTGCCATGGTGTCACAAGTCACAACAACCTCAAACTTTTGAGTTTAAGTGATCCTCTTCCCTCAGCCTCCCAAGTAACTGTGATTAAAGGTGCCCACCACAACACTGGGCTATTTTTACAGATGGGGAGTTGGCTTTTGTTCAGGCTGGTCTTGAACTCCTGAGCTCAGGCAGTCTACCCTCTTGGGTCTCCCAGAGTGGGAGGATTATAGGTCTGAGCCACCACATCCAGCCTGATTTTACCAGTTTCTTTCTCATCTCTCCAACCTCTATATTCTAAAACATCCCCAGGTTTAGACCCACATGACCTGTTATCACTACCTACACTAATTCTCTTTCTGATGCTGTGGCAGTGCACTAATCTCTGACCCCATGACAATATTAGCTTACATGGCAGAAGGGACTTTGGACTTTTGGTTATGAGCCTTGAGATGTGAATTATCATGGGTTATGTGGGTGCACCCGGTCTAATCATACGGGTCCTAAAGAGTAGAGGAAGAAAAAAGAAAGGTCAGAGAGATACAAAGTAGGGACTTGACCCACTGGTGCTGGCCTTGAAGGTGGAGTGAGGGCAACACAAGCCAAGGAAATGTGGAGGCCTCTAGAAACTGAGAAAGGACCTCAGTTTTTAGCCAGAAAGAAATTGAAGATTGCAATTTTACAACCACAAAGAACTGGATTTTGAGTCTCTGGAAGGGACCATAGCCTGATGACACTTTGGTTTTATTCCAATTAGGCTTTTCCCAGACTTCTGACCTCCAGTACTGTAAGATAATAAATTTGTGTTGGTTTTAAGCACCTAAGTCCAGTGATTTATTATGACAACAACAAAAACTCACAAGTGGTGATTTTATACATTGGCTAATCTGAAATTTTCAGCCAGGGTACCTCCTATAGGGACTAGAAAACTCTAGATCAGCAGTTCTCAACCTGTGGGTCGTGACCACTTTAGAGATCAAATGACCCTTTCATAGGGGTCATCTTACATATCAGATATTTACATTATGATTTATAACAGTAGCAAAATTACGGTTACAAAAAAAATGACAGATATGAAGTAGCAATGAAAATAATTTTATGGTTGTGGGTCACCACAACATGAGAAACTGTATTAAAGGGTCGCAGCATTAGGAAGGTTGAGAACCACTGCTCTAGACCAATATCATTAATGAATATCATTGCAAAAATATTCAATAAAATCCTAGCAAACACAATTCAATGATACATCAGAATAAAATTATACACCGTGATCAAGTTGGTTTTATCTCACGGTTACAAGGGATGTTCAACATATGTAAATCTATAAATATAGTATACCACAAACAAAATAAAAAAACAAAGATCATATGATTCTATCAATTAAGGGAAAAAGCTTTTGATAATATCCAGTATTTGGTCTTGATTATAACACTTTAAGAAAATAGGCTTAGATGGGACATTTCTTAAACTGACAGAGGGCATCTATAGAAAACCCACAGCCGCCTGGTGTGATTCCGTCCTGCGCGGCTGTTCCTTGGAGCAGTAGTCGTTTATCTCCATCCGCCTTCTCGCCCCATACATACTTAAAACCAAGTGAAGGGTGGAGTTCCATCTTTAAAAACTAAACAGGTATTTTGGACAACACATTCTTGGCAATGGAACCTGGACAACATTTATCAAACACGGTAGGGAAAATTCTCACTCTGCATTATAAAAAGGACAGCCAGATAGCAACTGTTACAGAAATGAAATAAGACAGAAAATTTTAACAAACTGTTGAAACTATTTCCTTAAAGAGACTTCCTCCACTGCCAGAGATCTTGAATAGCCTCCTGGTCAGTCATCCGGAAGCAATTCTTCACATAATTGATGAACTTGGCTTCCACTTTGGGAAGAGACCCACCTTTTTCTATACTTGCTTGCATTTTTGCCTTAATGTCTTCTACCGAACTAGGTCCTATTGGTGTTTTAGGAGTTTTTTCCTGTTTTTTGAAGGATTCTTGACCTTTTGATCTCGGCGTTGATGGTTTTGAATCCTTTCCATTCTGGTTTGATTTTTATGCATTTTTGGCTGGAGTGTCTTGCACAGATTTGTTCACTGGAGCTTTTTCTTCAGTTTCCTCATCATCAAAATCATCATCATCTTCTTCTTCATCATCACCATCATCTTCATCTTCATCGTCATCTTCTTCTTCTTCATCATCATCATCTTCTTCATCTGCAGCAAGTTTTACTTTTTTCTGTGGAATTTTGCTACCACTTCCAGGGGCAGATCGCTTTCCAGACATACTTAAGAGTTTCACATCCTCCTCCTCTTCATCTTCTGATTCTGCATCTTCTTCCACAGCTACTAAGTGGGCATAGTAGTAGTGGTGGTCAGATATGGAAATGGTGGGGAGACAAAAATATACATGTGAAATAAATTCAGTATTTTAATAATAAAAAAAAAAAGAAAACCCACAGCCAATTTCCACTCAGATCTGCAACTAGACAAGGATGGTTACCACTGCTATTTAACATAGTAATGGAAGTCCTAGTCATGGCAATCAGGCAAGAGAAGGGGATCGAGGGTATTCAAACGGGGTCAGAGGAGGTCAAATTCTTACTCTTCATGGATGGCATGATTTTATACCTGGAAAACCCCACGGACTCAACTACAAAGCTCTTAGAAGTGATCAAGGAATACAGCAGTGTTTCAGGATACATAATAAATACTTACAAATCAGTAGCTTTTATATATACCAACAATAGTCAAGGATGCAAAATAGTCAAGCTGAAAATAAAGTTAAGGACACTCTCCCTTTTACAGTAGTGCCAAAGAAGATGAAATACCTGGGGATTTATCTAACAAAGGAAGTGGAAAATCTCTATAATGAGAACTATGAAACTCTGAGAAAAGAAATAGCTGAAGATGTAACAAACGGAAAACATACCATGCTCATGGCTGGGAAGAATCAACATTGTTAAAATGTCCATACTACACAAAGCAATCTACAGATTTAATGCAACCCATTAAAGCACCAATGTCATACTTTAAAGAGCTTGAAAAAATAGTGCTTCATTTTATGTGGAATCAGAAAAAACCTCAAGTAGCCAATGCATTACTTAGAAACAAAAAGAAATCAGGTGGTATCACATTACCAGACTTCAGATTGTGCTGTAAATCTATAATGATCAAAACAGCATGGTACTGGCACAAAAATAGAGATATAGATATATAGAACAGAAAAGAGAACCTAGAGATGAATCCATGCACATGTTGTCATTTGATCTTTTATAA